CAGGACATACCTGAATCAAAGAACACAACAGCATAGTCAAGTCCACTGAGTGGGAGATTGTTCAGTGGCAGAAACAGCCTTGTTGTTCTCATGATAAAACGGGCATGCTTATTCCAAAAGTACAAAGCACCTTGCCAAGACATACTGACCAAAGTTTGTGCAAGTCTTCGCTACTCTTGCCTCTTAGATGTGTTATTTTCCAAGCTTCACCTGTAAAAACAGTGGCCATAAGAAAGTTGTTTAATGAACAACGATTCCACTTCCCAAAAGAACGCACTTCTACTTGCAGATCGCTCTGATTTAGTACCACCCGGCAAATTACAAGCACCAACTCTTGCAGGTTTTCCTTGCAGATAACCTTAAAGTGTTGGATTAAACCCAGCCTTAGCTGGAATATGAGACCATACTCAAACGCGAGTTGGTGCAGGTACTTTTTCTAACCTGCGCTCTTTATATCTCTCTATCTATATAAAGAGTGAGAAAAAGTAGCTTTAGAGATAACGTGACTTCCTTAATAAAGTCCCTTGTGCAATACAGGCAGTCCTCAACTTACAACATTTGAAGTTACAACATTTCACACTTACAACGTTTATAAATTGATGCCCTGTTTCAACTTTTTGACGGCAGTTTCAACTTTACAACGCTTGATCCGAGGCCACGCCAGCGAGCAAGTCGCTGCGTCACCCGTCTCCCCGGAGAACATCTGTCCAAACCTCCTGGGACATTTTCTTTAAGAAAGCAGACGAGACTCCAGAAAAACCCGCAGCCGTCTCTCCCGAGAAGACTCCAGCCAAAAACCCTTCAAAACGTCCAACCGAGAGCCCTTCAAAAACCGCAGCAAAGTCACCTCAAAGAAGTCCTTCCAAATCAACACGATTGCTATTTACAATACGAATACACGAATGTAGCTTTATTGTTCATCTATAATTGATCGAGTACAAAAATTCTGGGTTATTTTTCATGAAAATAGGGCATCGGGTCTCGGTTCAGGAACCAGCCCTCATTTATAACATTGTTTCCTTTGGGAAAATCGGTTCTGCGTTACGACATTTCGACTTTAGACGCGTTTTCCAGGAACCGATCGCGTCGCAAGTCCGAGGACCGCCCGTATTAAAAACACAGCTCTGCCCGTCACCGTGTAAATAAAGGATTGAAAGATTTCACCCCCGTCCTGCACTTGTACTGGGGGTGGCGGGGAGGTGTGTTTGGTGTTAACACCTCCCAAACCCCAGCCCGTGAACATCTAGGTCGGTTGACAGAAATGCCCCAGAGGCTGGAATACAACTCACCGGATTTGACTGTTATTTCTCCCCAGTTTTTCTCGTCGTCAAAAAACTCTTCCAGCCCCTTTCGGCACGCCGTGGCGTGCAGCTCCCTGCGCGCTCCCTGCGGGCGGCTCCGCGGCAGCAGGCTCAGGGCCGGGCTGCAAAGGAAGAGAGGAAAGCATGGGACGGGACGTGCCGTGCCGCCCCGCCCCGCCTCCCGCCAGGCGCCCCCGCGCCCGACGAGGCC